CGCAAGCGGAGCTTATTAAGAGGCTTACTACCGCTGCGGACAAACACCTTGAAAACCCTGAACTTCAGTCCCAAGAGGATGACCGAGACTCAAGGTCGATCCGAATCCCAACCGGTTTCTCGAGAAAGATTCGGTGAGGAATACGTAAGATCTCCACGCCTCCGCAATTTAATTCATTAGTCGTCAACAAGAGTAATACTTGGACTTTGATAAGACGTGAGTAATAATGACCATATTTGCATACTTTAACGTTTTATGCCTTCTTTCACCTTCCATCAGCATTAGACAAATTGATCTCGGTGTGACATTGTTGCAAAATTTTATTCCACAGAATGATATAAAAGTAATTTAAATTTTATGATTAATTATATAACGTTATTACACGGAAGTAAAACTTCTGAATATTTAAGAATAAAAACGCTTGGTTGTTTAAGCATCCAAGATTTATCAGTAAGATATATTTAAAAAAATTTTTTATGCTCTTATTAATTTGTCTCAAATCGCCTCGTTTATTTTATTTACATTTTTATCCTCATTTTCACCATAAATATACAAAAAAATAATATAAAATATTCTAATATAAATATAAATAATTATTTTCAAATATTATTCTTATAACGTTATATTAATTAATAATACGCGAACATTTCGAGCAGTTTAAAGAGAGAGACGTTCTCAATTACCTGAGAATTTTTTAATATAAAATTAGAGAAAAATAAAATAAATTGTACAGTCGACTTCCGTGGAAAAAATCACTCCGAATCATCGTCGCGGAGAGCCGGAGTCGCGCTGAAAATAGTTCTTGGCTATGGATCCCATAAATTTGAGTCGTCGAGTGCAACCTACGAGAAACGAAATCATCGCGGCGTGAAAAGGATGGGACACGAGCAGGAAATGTCGTAGAGCTCACACACGATGCGCACCTTTCCATTTCGTTATTTTAAGATAAGAGCGCTCTTACTATGCGGGTTTCGTGCGACATGTCCCGGAAATCTTGTTGCCCGCCGACGACAGCAATCGCGAATCACACTAGGAAGTGTCGCGCCGTTTGTAGCGTGTCTTTTTAATGAAAGTGAAATAATAAAAACTGATGAATTTAAAACAAAGCATTACTCGTCAAACTGACGTTCAACATTCAATTGTCCGGTCGAGAAATGGACGTTTTTCTTGCGACCTGGAAAAAATTTTATATTGTGAATGTTTGAATAATTCTACGGACTTGCACTCATTCGTTATTCGAAATTATCGCGAATGTAAAATCGGCAAGAAAAACCATGATCCCGCATGGTGAAAAGCCGTCTCTCCGCACGAGAGAGTCGACAAAAGACTAACCGGTTTCCGGAAATGGGTTGCTTCGTTCTCGACAAGTTAAACGAGTACATGCGTGTGCGTCAGACGCAGGAGAATGAAAGGGTTACCCAATCACCTAGATAACGTGAACGATAATTGCAGCGTGGCGAACAGTCTCTTAAAATTTGTCAAAACGACCAGACTGTAGAAATAACGTTTAGAGATATAGAAAAAAAAAAAAAAAAAAAGATTTATAATCGCAGAAATACTGTTAAATCACACCGTTAATCTCTCAACATGCACGAAATGTTAAATTGATTGCACAGAAAAAAAATTAGTTTCAAATCAAGATAAATGTTCTCATATATAGGCAAGAATATTGTAATTTTCTTAAAAATTTTAATCTTGATTTGATTAAATTTGTATTGATGCAAAATACTATTTTTGTTCAACTCAAGAATTTTATATATGAAGATTATAATATTTCTGCTTATATGTGAGAATATTTGTACTTGTATCAATACAAATTCAGTCAAATCTAGACTAAGTTTTTTTTTAAAAAGATAATATAATATTCTTGTTTATATAATTTTTGTATAGTTCTTGTTTATATAGTTTTGATTTTAAGATTAATTTTTTTTTCGGTGCGGAAGAATTTTATTATTGTCCTGCCTCTTTCGTCTCATCCATATCGTGTATTTTCGCGCGGAACCGACCTCCCGTTAAGACGTTTCGCGATTTTTTTATTCGCCAGCACGCGTCCCCACGACTGTGGTCCGAAGGACCCCCCTTTTTTCCCCCTGACTCATCGTGCGACGACGCATTACGTCAGCGTTCCCGATTCGACCGCCAGCAGAAAAATGCAACAAGTGCAACGAGTTTTCCGTGGATGACTCTTCGCTTCGCCTGGATATTCAGCGCGGCGATCGATTTCACTTCGGGTTAATCAAATACGGGACATCACGCTAATCGGAATCTTCCGAGCGAATCTTATCGCCGAGGAGAAACGGGGCGACCGAAGCGATTCGGAGGACATTCGCGTCCCCTCTTCTGGGCACTCCGCACATCTTACATTGCAGAAAAACTGCACGAAACTGCAAGATACAAAGCTGCAAACACAAATAACGTTTTTTTTATCTCGACCGCTTTTTCGATATACACGTCTCTCTGAAACATTCGGCCAGAACATGTCTCGCCTGTTTTTTTTTTTTTTTTTTTTCGCGTGACTCATCCCATACGGGAGGAAAAAAAATTCAAAATCGAGCCGTGCAGAAATGTATGTTACGTGACCGGTTTCTGCCTACACTCGCTGCTTACGAACGTTTTTCGATAGCGGCGAATAGGGACAATGGTCCCCTTTGTGCGAGCCGCGATTGATAATTCCCACCGCCGTAACGCCATACGTATGTATGTCGTTCGCCGCGACCCGCATCACCTCCTCGGCATCCATCAAGGAGAAGAAAAGTTGTTTGCCGAATGGGGGTTCACGACCGGAGTATCAATGAGTCAGATCGATTCGTCGCCTTCCACGAATGACCGCAGAAGACCGGTTCGCGCCGCAGATAAACGTCGTTTAATTATTAATCGATCTCGCGAAGGTCGATAATAACGCAACGCGCTTTCTCCTTTTCCCAATTTACGGAGCCTCCTCTTTGGTTCGCGAACAACGGAGTTCGATCGATGTGCCTCGGCATTGAAATTCAAATCGAAATGTCATATCTGGTCGTTATCGAAGCGAGCGAATTAAATTATTTGCGCGATCGCAACGGCAGTTCCGCTTCATTTAGCAGACGACAATTGAGCGAGCTTGTAAATGCAAGCAAAGTAACATTGTAGTCGACGTAAGTGTGTCCTGGACACTTGCTCGCCGCATTTAGAAAATCGATCGACTCGGCCGAGGATTAATGCAACGATTAATACAACAATGCAATATAAATCGCGGATAGGAATGGCATACCGAGAACATTACGCGATCGAAATCTTACACAACGACAGTTACCGATAGGGAAAAGTCACGAATATTTTTATTAGCTTTCGCGGGAGCTTTGTTATACGTACGTGTCTAGAAAGAATGAGCCGAGATTAGATTAGATTAAATAGACGCGGAGGCTTTATTGCGGATTATCAGCGCTCCGTTATCGTTTAACACTGCTTTCGCAACGATTAATGTGCAATTGCATTTTGGCACTTTACATATGATCGAACGATTTCTGGAACTTTGATTCTAGAGCAGATATACCACGTGACGTGAATGATGACAATCTTTCTCTTGTATTTTTAATTTTAACGGTCGAATCCTAATATAGTCACAAAGTCTATCTTGATCAACAGCTTGCGACGAAGTCGTTATCAAACGGTTCTTGACCGGAATTTAATTTATTTAACATTTAATTAACATTTTCTAATAACATATTTAATTCTTTTTTGTCACTTTAATATATATCAAATGTTGTTTATGCGGAATCAAAATTATATCTTATTTCTTCTCCGACAGATACGAATACTAATTAAATGAGCGACGAGGTCGATGATACGATAATTATCTTTCTGAAAATCTTTGGGACGCTTTGAAAATTCGCTGTTGAAAAGTTTACAGAAAAGGTTACTTGCACGAAAAATTGCGAAAATTTTTCGTCTGAAAAATAAATAACGAACTGCTCAGACTGACTCTCGGCTCCAACAGTAGCCATTCTTACGCAGGTTTTCCTGCCACGACATTTCGCTATTAGGCGCCGGTTTCGTTCCGCTATCAGTCGTGCGGATAACAAGAGGAGAGCGGGAGAGGGAATCGACGTCGCGGGCGATGGGCGATGAACGGAAGGTGGTGGACACCGCCGGGTCATTCTCGAGTAACAGTCGCAAGGTGGTTTCTCCGTTCTCCAGTTTCTCCTCGGTTGACATCCTCGAAACAGTGAACGGTCCTCTTCGCCGCCGTTTATAAACGCGCGAATCAAAATACATCAAGCCAAATATTGAAGTAATATCCAATTTCCTTTTGTGTTTACGTTTAGTATTATTATCGACGACGACTATAACTATGCCTTCTCTACCTGGTGACTCGCAATTTGACGACCGGCATCTGTATTACGCGAACGAATCACTAGTGTGAGAAAAATACGATTGCAGCGTGAATTCTGAGTGAAGCTATTTTTTTTCTCTCTTTTTCCACAACGTGAAAAATTTATTACAAATTAATTTATTTGCCTTACTTACGGAGCTGGAAGAAAAAAGTGTATAATAGTGTTGTAAAAAATTGGAATTTACGCAAACTAGAATTTCCGTGTGAGTTTGAAAAGAGTGAGAGAGATGTATAATAATTATTATAATTATTATTAAATTTATAATTATTATAATTTATAATTATTATTAAATTTTCTAACAAATCTCTACTTTCCTGCTTGTCTATTGAATATGAAATTAATTAGTTTTTGGAAAATCGTTTTCAACGAAATAAGTTACGAATTTTGTCAACAAAGCGATATAAAATTAAATGTTAAATAAATAGAGCGACACATAGATCACTTTAGAATTAAAAGTCGCGAAGGAATTCGCTCGCTATACTTTTAAAATGCTACGTTATCTTCTGTTATCTACATGATTATAGTCGATCGTTATTATATATAAGTTTGCCAAGCAATAACACAACACTCGAGAAACACGATACGTGAAATTTTTTTTAACAATAATATTGCAACAGCTTTACTTAGAAATGTTTCAATCTAAATATCTAACATCCCTTCGATAAAACTGTCTGACTGATTAGGACATTTTGCTCGTCGATTTTAAATTGAACTTTTGTAATCACTCGTAATCTCTTCCGTTTAGATCTGGCAATATCGAATATCGCGAATCAACGATTTCGTGTTTATCTTATCTGACAAATTCTCGTGTATTCTAACCAGGTAGCGAAGATTAGACCAGAGTCGATATCCACATTCGCGATTAACAATGCCGAAATGAAATAACCGAACTGATTTTGTGTTTCTTTCGATTTGGAATATCGTAGGTGTTCAAGTGTCACAGGATCGCGGAAACATGGGGTGAGTGCTTGAAAATTCTCTATAAATGACTGAATGAACAAATTGTCATGATTTTCCAGGAAATCTTTTCGAATAAATCGTGTTAAATTTGAAACGAACGAATTTAATGACAATTTCTGATAATTACGGCATCGGGCTTCGAGATTCCATAACTTTTGCCCTCAAAAATTTGCCCGACGATTTGTATCATTAGAGATTATGCGTACGTTTTTACTTTCTCGACTTTCTCTCGTGTCGCTTTGTCCCTTTATTTATTCGACGCATAGAAACATTTTCTGATCGATCTATCGCCACCTGTTCTGTTGTCTATGAGCATTGAATTGTTACGAACTGCGATATCTAATCTGACTTCTTATCGTTTGCAAGGTCGCGAGACCAAATAGAATAGCAACTTTATGCACGCTACCTATTAAATAAATTTTTAATGTCACTTGAGAAAATAAGAGAATAAAATGAGAAACGAAGCCTATCAGAATTTTTCTTTTTAATTTGTCGATTTTAATTTTTTTAATTATAAATATATAACCAGATAAATTTTAATAATAAATAACGTTTGATAAATATACCTATTTGTTATAAATAAATTTTTTAAACAAAACTTATAAAATAAATATTTTTCGATATAATATAATATATACCATATATAACATACCATATGATATATATAGTGAGATAACATATGTATAACATATGTATATAACATATGTAGTAAAATAATAATATATAAATTTAATTTCACTTTTTTTGTTATTGTTTCGTTGTGGCAAATTGCAAAATTAAAAAATCTCAATTAGACTGAGATTATAAATTAAACATAGAATCTTACGTTGTGTATATATAACACGAAAGTTCGTTATGTGACGAAAGATATTAAAAGATAATTCATGTCTTGAATATTTTCAGCGCGGAAACAGTCGACACCGGTGGTGTCTTTAGAAAGACCGGCACGAGACCGGAAGTCCTCAAGCACGACCGGAAATTGCCTGGGAATATGGAACGCGGTCTGCACGAGCGCGACCGAGTCGGCGTTCAGGACTTCGTTCTGCTGGAAGACTTTTGCAGCGAATCCGCCTTTATCAATAATCTACGCAAACGATTCAAGGAGGATCTCATTTACGTAAGTAAAGTTGGAAATATAATTTAAAAAATCTCTATCATTTTATATTTAATTTATTGAATAGGGACAGAGAACATTTCTTTATACTTTTTTCCGTACTTTATTTTTTTATTTATTTTTATTTGCGATTGATAAGACATGAATCTTGGAAACGCGGTACTTCATAAGAAAGTCTTATTTTACAGTTTTATCTTAATTCTTTTACATCAAAATCACATTGACTTTTCAGCGACGATAATTTATAACTATTCTATACATGTTGAATATAAAAGGTGACGTAGAGTGACGTAGTGACTCAAAAGAAATTTCTTATTTTTAATATCACAGACGTACATTGGCCAGGTATTGGTGTCGGTGAATCCTTATAAAAAACTGCCTATTTATACTCCGGAGACCATCCTATACTATCACGGAAGAAACTTTTTCGAAGCAGCGCCTCACATGTAAGCATCCACTGCACTTTTTTTTTATACACGATATTCTGGCGAGACATCGTTCTCACGCAAAATATTTGCGAACGAAAGTTTCGCATAAATCTGAACTCTTTATGCAAGCCAAAATATAACGCTGGCATTTTTGTAAGCTATACTCATTGTGACAATCCTCTTTCACAGTTTTGCTCTTGCGGACACCGCCTATCAGTCCTTGTCGAAAGAGAACTGTGATCAATGCATTTTGATTTCAGGTGAGAAGATTATGCTTTTATTCAAACGATCTACATTGATATCAATCTATTTCCTTTTCTTGTTTCTTTTTATTATCGAGCTTTTTTTTCCCACATTTTTTATGTCTTTTCTTTGACTCTAAGGCGAGTCGGGATCTGGAAAAACGGAGGCGTCCAAAAAGATTTTAGAATTTATCGCGGCTGCCACTGGGCATAAAAAACAGGTGGAAGAAGTGAACGACAAATTGATCGGCAGCAATCCCGTGCTGGAGGCTTTCGGTAATGCGAAGACTAATCGCAATGACAATTCATCCCGCTTTGGAAAATACATGGATGTTCAATTCAATTTCCAGGTGAAAATTCAAATTTATTTTTGATAAATCCTTTTTAAAAGCAACATAAAAGAGAATTAAGAAAAATTTTTTATTTAAGAAAATTAAATTTATTATTTTTTGAAAGGTGATAATCAGAACAATAGTTTGAAAAAATTAATAACAATTATTAATGTAAATGTGTCAGTCGATCGATTTTGATCTTCCTGCAGAAGTATTTCAATCTAATAAATATTTAATGTTTCCTTTAATGATGGGTATAATGCTTTCATATGTTTCCAGGGAAACCCAATTGGTGGAAATATTCTAAACTATTTGTTGGAGAAATCTCGAGTAGTTCATCAATCAGTTGGTGAGAGGAATTTTCATATCTTCTATCAGCTTTTGGCAGGCGCGGATGATGATACATTGAGAAAATTGTTTTTGAAAAGAAATCTCGATACTTTTTTCTACTTGAGCAACGGAGTAAGCTTACTTTATATATTTTTCTTTTATTTTCTTCATTTATATATGTTTCATATTATATTTATATATGTTACATATTTTTTAAATTTAAATTTATATTCTATTTTTTTTAATTTGTCTTTCTGCAATCTCCTTGAATATTCATCTCAGACAAAAGGGACAATAGATACCATTGACGATGCTAATCAGTACAAAGAAGTCGTTCGTGCGATGAGGACCATGGAAATGTTTCAGCAGGAACAAAATGATCTGTTCGCCATAGTTGCATCGGTGTTGCATATGGGTAATGTGGGTTTCTCAGAGGAGGATGGTACAGCAACCATTCTGAAACCTGCATCTGTCGATGCCGTTGCCGCGGTAATTATTTTTAAAATACGATAATTTTAATTTTAGTTTAATTTTAGTTTTAATTATAAAACTTATTAGTTGACAAATTTTCGAATTTATTTCTTGATGTGAATAATTATGTTAATTACGAACGGCTGATAATTCGATTGAATAGTTGCTAGGATGCGACGTGAAGCGACTGGCAAAGGCGTTTACTCATCGTACCATAGATGCTCATGGTGACGTAGTAGTTTCACCTTTAAATAGGGAATTGGCTATTTATGCGAGAGATGCGCTGGCGAAGGCCGTGTATGACAGATTATTCACCTGGCTCGTGACTAGACTTAACAAGTCTTTACAGCCTCAGATTAATCCTCAACGCACAATAGTCATGGGCATTTTAGACATTTACGGTTTTGAAATTTTCCAAAAAAACAGGTACAATACTGTCAAGTAACATAATCTTTGACAAATATTCTTTGACAAAAATTAATTATTATTTTTTATTTTGATACTTCAATATAGTTTTGAACAATTCTGTATTAACTTTTGCAATGAGAAATTACAACAATTGTTTATCCAATTGACACTGAAATCAGAGCAGGAGGAATACTTGCGCGAAGGAATAACTTGGGAGAATGTAGAGTATTTTAATAACAAAATTATCTGCGATCTAATCGAAGAGAAGTATAAAGGTTTAATTTTTATAGATTTTTCATATAGATTTTGATCAATATATATTCACGATTATATATTGATTATTTAATTAATTAATGTACCAGGAATAATATCATTAATGGATGAGGAGTGTCTGCGACCTGGTGAACCGACGGACATGAGTTTCCTAGAAAAATTGAATGTAAATTTGAATAATCATCCTCATTACATCAGTCATCAAAAGGCTGATATACAAACGCAGAAGATCATGGGACGAGATGTAAGAACTTTATATTTTATATTGTATCGAATTTCTAATATCTCCAAGTGTTGAAAAGAGAAATAAATTTATTTTTAATTGTTTTAGTCATCTTATTTACTTTAAGTTTATTTTAAGTTTACTTTTAATTATATTTATTTTATTATACAAACGTTATCTAACGTTAATCAGTTTGTATTCATTATTTATTATAGTAATTACTTAATTATTATAGTAATGAAATTATAGTAATTACTATGAAAATTATTCGTAAAAATTATGCTAAACTGAGAATGTAAAAATAAGCTTGATATTTTAGGAATTTAGATTGGTGCATTACGCCGGCAATGTTACGTATAACGTACGCGGATTTCTCGAGAAAAATAATGATCTATTGTTCCGAGATTTACGTGAAGTTATGTCTCATACAACGAATTCCATCACAAAGGTAAGAATTCAATATCCTTAGGAAAAGAAAAATAAGAAAGAATACTTGTTTTCAATTAAAAAACAGCGTTTCTAAATTGTTATTAGTTTTGAAAATTAATTTTTGCAAAAATAATTTCTTTTTTTTTTGTTTTTTTCTTGTTTTTCGTGGAAATATATTATATAATCGTGGAAATATATATGATTTCAAATATTTTCTACATTTTCTGCTTATTACATTTTTTGTTGCTTACAGAGTGTATTCGACGTGAAAGATTTAACTAGTAAAAAACGCCCAGATACTGCCATAACGCAATTTAAAAATAGTTTGAATAATCTGGTTGAAATCCTCATGGGCAAAGAACCCTCTTATATTCGTTGCATCAAACCCAATGATTTTAAAATGCCTAGTAAGTAGTATCTCTCTCTCTCTCTCTCTCTCTCTACTACTACTACTACTACTACTCTACTACTACTACTCTCTCTACTCTCTCTCTCTCTCTCTCCTCTCTCCTCTCCTCCCCTCCTCTCTTTCTTCTTCTCTCTCTCTCTCTCTCTCTCTCTCTCTCTCTCTCTCTCTCTCTCTCTGATTAATAAAAAATTGATTAAAATACAATATGCATTAAAATAATACAGTGCTTAACAAAATACCTGAGCCACTGAATTATATGCTAAAATAATATAATGCATAAAAAAAACATGTATAAATATAAGAATAAATTATTTAATTTCTATATCCTAATTTGTCTACTAAGAAAACAAATAGATTAAAAATCATTATCATATCAACACAAAATTTTAACTTTTGTTTTCAGATCAATTTAACGAAAAAATTGTGTTGCATCAAGTGAAATACTTGGGTCTGATGGAAAATCTGCGAGTGAGACGCGCCGGTTTTGCTTATCGAAGACCATACGAACAATTCTTGCAACGTTACAAGTGCCTTTGCGCGGAAACTTGGCCGAATTATCACGGACCAGCCAAGGAAGGAGTGCAGACGCTCGTCTGTTATCTCGGTTACGAACGCAATGAATATAGGATGGGAAAGTAAGATCGCGAATTAAGCCTAACATAGTCCAATTAAAAATTATTTTATTATTTACACGATTTATAAAATAATCCTTTTAAGAGTATTTTTTTAAATATATCATAAAAATTACAAATACATACATGATACATACGAACGTAATGTCGTAAAGCGTTGTATTTTAACATGTAATTCATGCGCTTTATAAACATAAATCACTTAAAAATTTTAAGAATAATTGACGAATTAAAAATTTATTAAACTCCGTAAAATTCTTTATTGTTACAGTACAAAATTATTCATCCGATTTCCCAAGACGTTATTCTATACGGAGGACGCGTTCCAAATAAAGAAACACGAGGTAGCCGCTATTATCCAGAGCAAGTGGAAAGGTATATTAATGAGGAGGAAATATTTAGAGATGCGCGAATCGGCGATTGTCTTCCAGAAATACATTCGCAGATGGCTCGCGAAACGCCAAGCGAGAAAACGACGACAGGCAGTTGTCACTCTCCGCAGGTATCTCTCTCTTATTTTTGTTCTTTTTATCGAATAGAAATATAAAAATCTAAAATAGCAATAATAATCAATAAAATATCTATTACATAGTCTATATTATTGTATATGTACTATTTTTAGGTCTATATATTTATGTATTTATTTATTTATGTATTTATGTATTTATGTATTTATTATGCTATATAATTTGATGCAGATTTATCGAAGGTTTTATCACCCGCGAGGGACCACCTACAGAGATTAATAAGGCATTTATCGAATTGGCGAAATCGCAATGGCTCATCAGACTTTCAAAAACATTACCACCGGGGATCTTAAATAAATACTGGCCACCGTGTCCATATTCTTGCCAAGAGGTATGGAATAAGAATAAAGAAATAGCTCAGCTTTCTACTTAAAAATTCTTAGCGAGATATAAATATAATAAATATAATTGCAGGCGTCAGAGCATTTGCACGTAATGCACAGGCGATGGAAAGCCCGTCATTATCGAATGGCATTGAGCAAAGAGGATAAAGAACACTTCGAGCTAAAGATTCTCGCGGAATCTCTGTTCAAGGACAAGAAAAAGTCTTACACAAAAAGCATAGGTCCAAGATTTGTAACCGATCGTCTTGGAGAAGAGCACAAAACACTGCGACAGAGCTTTATTAACAACATTTTGCCTTCTGGAGAAAGTATAAAAGTAAGAAAGAACAAATTCTCGAAAAGATATTATAATGCTTTGATCTTTTTCTTTTGTGTTACATGATCCTATAAAATGGAAATCTGGATGAATGCTTTTAGTACGTCACTCCTGTCATTAAATATGATCGGCATGGATATAAACCACGCGAGAGAGTGCTTATTTTAACAGAAAATGCTGTGTATATCTTCGACACGCTTAAAACCATCAAACTTAAGCATCGCTTGCCCTACAAGGCTATCGAGGAATTGGTCGTCACTGGGGAATCGGATAATTTACTCATTGTTAGGATACCACCTGAATTGAAAAAGGATAAGGTTTTTATATTTAAAATTTCAATAAAAAGTTTCACAATTTTTAATAATTAAATATGAAAGTAAATCATCTGCTCCTGTTTTACAGGGTGATTTGATCTTAGAAGTTCCACATTTAATAGAAGCTTTAACGAAAGCGATTCATATCACCAGTAATCCAAACATTCTTAAGATCGTTAATACTGAATCGTAAGTAACTTTTGAATTTTTTATTAAACTTACTCCTTTATTCAATATATTTGATTTAAATTTAATTCATTTTAATTAATTTTTGCTACTTTTAATGTTTACAATTATTATATTCCAGTGTGTCCCACAAACTAGTCAGTGGTAAGGAAGGAGTTATTGAAGTTAGGACCGGAGCCACTCCGGCGATCAGTAAAAATCGACAGAGTGGCCACTTATTAGTGGTAAAGACTTGAAATTCAAATAATTATTTCTTATCCTTTCGATCAATCTTTTCTTTGCTTCTTACAAATTGTTAAATTTCAGGTCGCTTCTCCGTGAAATGATCTCTCGAGGACCGGTAGAACCCGGTATTTATGATGCCTGCTGGCAGCCTTAATGCAATGTGATTTAGAAAATACGCAACAGAATATTAAGAAGAAATAATATATGATATTTAAATGTATTTTTAAGCTCTAACGATTTTTTATTTTATTGCAATAAGATGATGAAACGACATACATAGATCTTTCGTTCTGACGTATAGATTACGTCAAATTATTGATATAAATACGAAAGGCATAGAGTGCTATAAGGTCTCATGTATATTTCCTTGTAAATTAGATAATATTACTAAGGAATATTTATTCTGATAGAAAGATGAAAGCGATTCAAATTGGTTTGTCAATAACTTATAAACGTTACCTAGACATAAGTTAAATTTCATTTAAGTGAATACAATAAATATAGAAAAATATATCTCTTTTCACTATATCCCTCTTTTCAACATAAGGCGTTTTAAATAGAATAACCTTATTTAATTAAATTATATATTTATATATATAAAATAATATGTTCAACAATATATTTATATACACAAGTATAATAATATCAATGTTATTGTTTTGTCGAATTGGAAGAATCTTTTTTTGTGAGAGTTTTTCTTCCCTCTAAGGCTTTCTCACGTAATTCATCTTCCACTGCAATGTTTACAGTTTTTGACATAATTTTCTTAAGTTTCTGTGCTTCTTGTAACTTTGTCTTCTTAGGCTGAACAGGAGCATCTTCAAAAAATAACATAGTACATTAACATAGTACATTATTATCAGTAATAACATCGTTATGCTGACAGAAATGTTGGAGAAGCTTGCTCTTATCATCACTTACTTCCACGTCTTTGAATAGGCGGACTTTTCTTCGCCTTACTCTTATTGGCTTTCGTCTTTACCGAAGCCGGTAGCTTTGTTTTAACTTTAAGTTTTCCCTGTGCCATTTCACGTATCTTATATCTCTGTATTGTATACAAAATTTTGTAGATTCAACAAAGTAGACTATTGCTCGTGCGCTGCAAGAAAAAAAAGCACATGAAAACATTAAAAATGAAAAAAATCTTTAATATATAAGACTAAATATATCAATATTAAAATATCATGTATAATTAATACGTATAGTGCGCATAATCTTTTCCGTATAATTACGCCAAATCGTACATTTTTCTCCTAATAATACCACAGATAAGATTCACGCGTTTCTGCACAGGTTATGTCGCGTTGCCCGCAATCGGTATAGCTTTTTCCCGAATGGCAGTACGTTCATTGGATATCGCTGATTCGTGTGTATGATTCTGACATCCATAGTGCTATAATGCCTTAGACATTGAAAGTTGGCGACTTAGTGCTTTAAAAGACTGGCAGCCCTGAAAGGAGGCTGCAGCGGATGCGGGCGAGGGGGATTGGAACGTGAGCTACGCAGGAGATGTCGACAAGATGACAGCGGCCGTATGACGACGCTGGCTGGCTAGCTGGTTACGCTATTGCCTGCCCGACACGATAGACTCGAGGAAAGGTCATATCGCACCAGGTGTATCAGAAAGTGACAGTTGCGGAGAATACAACGGGCAAGGGGAACAGAAGACTTGACGACGTCGTCATCGTCGTCGTCATCATCATCATCATCATCATTATCATCATCATCATCGTCGTCAGCGGCGGCGACGGTGGTAGTGCCGCGCCCCCGTGCAATGCGCACGACGACGCCGTGAGTGATCGGTGTGGTCCGACGAGGAGGAGGAGTGCCGTTGCCCCCCGCGTGCCCCCTCCGGAGGCATGAGCGTATTTGGGGACTTCCAGCGTGTCTGGGTGCAGCGGTTCCCGGACAGCGCCTTGCCGGCCGCCTGGGAAGAGGATGTCAGAGCGAATCTGGTCAAGCACAAGCAGAAGGTGAGTTCGAACGCGATGTTTCTCTCTCCTTCCCCAGGAAGCGATGCCCTTGATATGGAGATGTTGGCTTTCGATTGGTTTTCGGGTCGACGACCAAGATTATTGTTGATTCTCATCGATGAATTTTGAATTAGGTTACCACAAGAAGTTTACAGTTGTGTTTTGACGAGTAATTGTGAAGTGAGAGGATGAGGATGTGTGAAATAATGATGAGGTCTGTGTTAGCTCGAGCGGTTGACCTGATGATGGTGTCGTGATATTCCCCAGGTATCTATTAGTCACGTGCGAGCAATTTGCGTACGTTTGTATTATGTGTGTGTGTGTGTAAAGGAAGGGAGTTTTATCTCGTTTAATTGACATCGCGGAGGGGCCTGATGACTCATTGTGCATATCAGAATAGCTAAGTTTTTTTTCAACAAATCTCTGATCAGGTTCCTGTGACATTCAAAAATAAATTTTTAAAAGTCACTGGATGATTATAGATTGTATGATTAAAGGATGCAACCTTGCATAACAATGGAGTTGTGACTGTGTAGTGAAGTGTCGCAATATTTACCAAGTATTTATTAGTCAACCCAGAGTTTATGTATACATGCATATATGTGTATGTATGTATATGTATGTATAGATCCTATGAGGTAACACTAGGGTACTCAGTTAAATGTGATGTGGACAAGGAAGAGTGGCAAGGAGAATTTAATTTCCCTCACTTAATAAAAACTTTAGTCATGTATAATTCAATTAACACATGTTCACGCAGTGACTTGATGACTCATTGAATTAATTGCTTGAAACTTCTGTCAGTAACAGAGCATTCATGACATTACAAGTATCAATGAATTATCATTCTCTTGGACATTCTCAATGAAGTTTTAATAAACAAATAAATGAAAAATGAATGAAAGAAGAGAAAATAAATGTGAATTTCCTGCTTGCAACTGTCGTTTATGAATCATCAGAGAGTTATCTCTGCTGTTATCACACAGTGAAAAAAAAAGTTGATTACTCTATTAGGTCATCTTAAAAATTCATATCGTTATATGTCAACTGATTTTTATTACAATTTTGTTGAAAAGACATTATCTAAAAAGTGAGGAAATTGTGTAAAAGTCAATTATTTGTATTTAAAATAAATTAGAGTGTATATTTAAGATATAGCCTAATAAAATACATTTCTAATAGAAGTTTTTTTGAACAATTATATCAAAGCATGTTCCGATGCATATTCTTTTTTCATAGGTGACAGCTTTGAGAGAAGAACTCGAAAAAGAAGAGTTTTATGTGGAATATTTAGAAAGATTACTAGCTGATGTCGAACGACACAAGCAGCTGGCTAATAATACTAATGTGAATACGAGTACATCTGAGAGCAAACAAGAAACGGTGACAGAAACGCAATCCCAACAGGATTCTCAAATAACAGAAAACAGCTTGGCAGACTCACCTAATTCGCCGACTTCTCAGAATGTCGTGCCGTTTGTTCCCACCTTGTCGGAACGGGAAGACATCAGCAAGTTTCAAGACAAATGCGTGTCCGAATTGAGCTCGACTCTCGGCACAGCCGGCAAACGACCCAAAAGTGAGATACCGAGGAGTCCCGAGAAAGTGCCTGAACTTAGAAGAAACAGTGATCCAGATGTGCCAAGTAATTATGTTACGGTGATCGAAGTCACCGGAAGTTCGAAGAAAGATAAAAATGAGGAATCTCTCAAAGAAGAGGATGAAAAAGGTATCTTTTAGCTTATTTTCTATAAATTGATTTTTTAAACTTCTAAACTTAAAGTAATGGATTTATAAAGAAATGTTTTTAATCTTACCAGCTTAATATAATGCAGGCAAATAAGAGATGGTTTAATTTGTTTTTAGAGTTTTTAGAGTTTTAGAGAAAGACATTATCAACTTTTATATACATAAATTATCATAAATTATTTTATAATAATTATATATGAAATCTAAAAAGTAATGGTGATTATTTTTTTGTTAAATAGACTTAGAAAAGGCGATTAATGAAGATGATGAAGATGGCGATGCGGAAGCATCGGAGGAGGAACCTTATTATGATTCAGTAGCTTTGGATCAAACTGGAGAATACGTCTACATTGATGCCCGCGTTCCCACTGTCAACAGCAACAATGATGGCAAGACGGCAGTTAGAAGGCCGCCTTCACTGCCAGATTCGCCAGGCAATCAGAGTAATTATGTCAACATCGATTATTTTATACAGTAAGTTGTTTGTTATCTATCATTTTAATTAAAATATGAAGTTATTACGTGAAATACAAATATAAATATAATTATATGCATTATTTTCAGACACAGAGCAGCGATGGACAGCGAAGACGAAGAAGGTGCCAGTCCGGCACCCCCAATTTTGCTGCGAGCTCTCAGCACGGACAATGAGACTGGTAGTAGCGACGCTGAACCGTTGAGTTTGAGCGAAGGCAGCTTAGAATCACCGACTCCGACAACACCGCGCAGGCAAGAAAAGAGCAAAGAGCGCGAGGACGATAGGACGTCAATGGTCAAGTGTATCGTGAACTCAGTAGTGGAGAGCGAGGCTGTATATGTGGAATGCTTAACTGTGATGTTACAAGTATGTCATTTTATAAATTTTTAACAAGAATAAGAACTCATCATTTCCTTTTGTCCTTGCAGTATATGAAAGCTATTAGGGCAACTTTAACGACGTCTCAGCCGGTCATTTCGGAAGAGGAATTTGGCACGATGTTTTATAAAATCCCGGAGCTGCACGCTCTGCATCAGACGTTTTTGGATGGTCTCCGGAAGAAGGCGGAGAAGTGGGATAGTAAGACTACTATAGGAGAACAATTTAAGGTTGATAATTTGATTAGAGTCTTAGATATCAACATAAGACAGATGTGACGTCACGTTGGATTTCAGATTATGGCCAGTAATATAGGATTGTATGGTGCGTTTTTGCACAATTACGCTCGCGCGACCGATACCGTGCGACGATGCTCCGCCCATTCCACTCAATTCGGAGAGATTACTAGAGATATAAGACTCAGAGGCTTTCCAAAGGGTCCGGGTTTATCATTAGAAGATTTGTTACACAAGCCAGTTGCTCGAGTGCAAAAGAACGCTTTGGTTCTACATGTA